ATTTATCTTTCTGTTGTTCCTTGATTAATGAAATTTGTTGCGCAGAATCCAAATCGGATAAAGAGAATCACAGGATACGAACGTCAAATTAACACAATTGATATAAAGCATCACTTCACGCATCATATAAACTGCTTCAGTGCCGCTTAGTTAAGAATCGGGGTTATGAGAAATATCGGTCAATAAAATGAAATCACGAAGATTGATAGGAGAAGATCATTCTTAATGTTCCTTTCGTTTGCGTTTGCGGAAAGAGGCACTCGACTATGCTTGCGGGTTCTTCGTTAACTGGACTCGCACCGCAAAAAGTTTCTGATTCATTTGACAAGTCGCCCACATTCTCAACGCACTTACGCGAACGAAGGAGGATGCGAAGGGTCGACAAAACAAAACACCGTAAAGTGCTCTTGTGTGTAGAGGATGCGACTTGTTAGCTACTATTGAAGCAAGTGAGAAAAGTGGCTGTGAGAGGTGCACGGCGATGCATAAGGGCGCGTTTCCCAAGTTCGGTTTATCCCTCGCCCGGCTTTGCGACGCATTGAGATTTATTAACGTGATACCCGACACCGCAGGATGTGTGCCCATAAATTTCATGGTTGCAAATTTCTGGGAATTCACGCCGATATGCTCGTGGTTATGAACCGTCTCGTTTAAACCCTCACTCCATTCCTCCCTCGCCCGATTTGGAATTATGCCTGGATAAAGCTCGTCATTGCAATGTGGTTCCCTCTATTTACAACATTTGAGTATTACGATGATTACCGAATCATTTTTAAAAACGTGTGCACGAAAGCGTTGTTTATCAAATATGTATTATAAATTTATGACGTATATATTACAACCATTATTGTACTTTTACAAAATCGATTTGGCGTGGCTTGTGTGTATTTGCCACATATACAGAATTTAATTTACTTCCATCTCATTCAATTTTCATATAATATTTACCGAGCAAATTCCCTGACCAATTCTATCGGATACAGCCATCGGTAAACGGCCGTATTTATTTTCTTTTATTGAAACGCGGGATCGTGCGCGCTTCATGAGATTGTTTTTGCTATATTCACATTTATATCACGTTTGAAAGTCCACAATTATTACGTATCATTAATTGTGCAAATATAATCGATGAGCTATCTTCGCGTGCCGACAATGACAATGGATTAGCATTAATTCTGTTCTTCGAATACGTGATCGAAAACGTAACACAGCCATTCCATTTCTGATACCAGATCTAAACTGAAATTTCATAGTCCAAGGAACAGTGAGTGATCTTAAGACATCACCGTTCGGTTCTCCCTCGGAGCATCAATCAGCGGTCCCTGCAATCAAGGGAGAGCAACGGCGAGCGAGGACGTCTCCATGGGAATTTCGAGAGGCATCCACCACTCAATTATCTTGAGCCACCATACACATTCAAGATCTTATCGATCTACAGAGGTCTCTATTTGAACGAAGGTCAACGAGAAAATTCTACGGAAATCTAAAATTGCTTCCTACCGCGCTGATAATGAATATAAAATTCATATTGATGATAAGTTTTCACCAATTATATCAGCAAAATTAGAAATCGAAACATAATAAAATCGCTTCAAATAGTTGGTAATTAAATAATCGAAACATATAGAATGTTATGAATTATATAATAATGTATAATATAATATATAACATTATATAATGTTATATAATAATATATAATCTTTGTATTTTTCATCTATCAAATATAAGTTCAAAAACTACTTTCGTTATTGAGAATGTTATCAAAATCAGAACATTATCTCCTTTATACGTATTAGAACTGACAATGACATATTAATATATCCTACAGCCCAGATATAAACAAACCTGTCAGTACCAAAGCCAGAATTATCTGCATTGAATATCAGTAAATGTTGAGTATGATGCAATTCGATTTCGTTCGGCCCTGAATGATTCCGAGCAACGGCCATGAATGCCTAATGAGTCGCTGTTGTTCAACATTGACGTATACTATCGGAGCTCCACGTAATGGCATCATTGTTATTCCACGCAACAATTTTCATGTTATATTTACCTCGCCATTTGGCATTCTCACGCAAATCTTAAGATTCTCTCTGACGCATAGACAAACGTATTTAAAAGCAGAATTTAGTACACTTCTCTTGTACATCGTCATTGCTTCGAACATAGAATTGATTTCAATATGTTTTAAAAATCTATCTCGAATTATAAAAGAGATATTTCCTATACGCACAATAAAATCTATAAGGAATCTCTCTAACGTTCAGTTTTTTAATACTTGTAAAATTTATTATATGCTCCGATCATTGTCATATAAATTGTCAATCGCTTGTTGCAGATGCTGCAGTGATGGACAGCGAGGGCACGTTGGGCCGCGGCCATGCAAATGGGGGCCGTGGGCTGCGCCGTCAGCGGTCCCTGGAATGGAGAGAACGGCGCGGTTATGGAGCCGGTGGCCAATCCAGCAGCGATGATGAAGATAACACACGTCACGCTGTGGGGCCCGTGTCAAGTTCATCCGTTACAAGAGGCGCTCGTAGTCCTGGTCAGGTCTTTGCCTCCATTTTGGCGCAACAATATGGCAGTAAGTGACATCCTTCAGTGTGGCAGTCTTTGCTGTAAATTTAGTTCTTTCTCCAAAAAAATCTTAGTAGAGCATCTTGATTGCATTTAAAAAAAAAAAAGATACTTAATAACTTTATTATTTGCATTTAAAGATATTTCTTTGTTCATTCTTCGTTAATTTAAAATTTATTTTGCATTTTTTAACATAAAGTAGCTTAGATATTCTAACGAATAAACTGGCAAGAAAACAAA